AAGTCCAATAAAATTCTAAACAACTACCTGACATTATGGACACTGACACACCTAAACACTATACAGAACAAGTATTTACTGAAGTCAAATAAAATTCTAAACAACTACCTGACATTATGGACACTGACACACCTAAACACTATACAGAACAAGTATTTACTCCAATAAAATTTCTAAACAACTACCTGACATTATGGACACTGACACATCTAAACTATACAGAACAAGTATATATACTAAAATTCTAAACATACATTATGGACACTGACACACCTAAACACTATACAGAACAAGTATATATGGTAAGTCCAATAAAATTCTAAACAACTACCTGACATTATGGACACTGACACACCTAAACACTATACAGAACAAGTATATATGGTAAGTCCAATAAAATTCTAAACAACTACCTGACATTATGGACACTGACACACCTAAACACTATACAGAACAAGTATATATGGTAAGTCCAATAAAATTCTAAACAACTACCTGACATTATGGACACTGACACACCTAAACACTATACAGAACAAGTATATATGGTAAGTCCAATAAAATTCTAAACAACTACCTGACATTATGGACACTGACACACCTAAACACTATACAGAACAAGTATATATGGTAAGTCCAATAAAATTCTAAACAACTACCTGACATTATGGACACTGACACACCTAAACACTATACAGAACAAGTATATATGGTAAGTCCAATAAAATTCTAAACAACTACCTGACATTATGGACACTGACACACCTAAACACTATACAGAACAAGTATATATGGTAAGTCCAATAAAATTCTAAACAACTACCTGACATTATGGACACTGACACACCTAAACACTATACAGAACAAGTATATATGGTAAGTCCAATAAAATTCTAAACAACTACCTGACATTATGGACACTGACACACCTAAACACTATACAGAACAAGTATATATGGTAAGTCCAATAAAATTCTAAACAACTACCTGACATTATGGACACTGACACACCTAAACACTATACAGAACAAGTATATATGGTACTCCAATAAAATTTCTAAACAACTCCACAATAAAATTCTAAACAACTACCTGACATTATGGACACTGACACACCTAAACACTATACAGAACAAGTATATATGGTAAGTCCAATAAAATTCTAAACAACTACCTGACATTATGGACACTGACACACCTAAACACTATACAGAACAAGTATATATGGTAAGTCCAATAAAATTCTAAACAACTACCTGACATTATGGACACTGACACACCTAAACACTATACAGAACAAGTATATATGGTAAGTCCAATAAAATTCTAAACAATATATGGTAAGTCCAATAAAATTCTAAACAACTACCTGACATTATGGACACTGACACACCTAAACACTATACAGAACAAGTATATATGGTAAGTCCAATAAAATTCTAAACAACTACCTGACATTATGGACACTGACACACCTAAACACTATACAGAACAAGTATATATGGTAAGTCCAATAAAATTCTAAACAACTACCTGACATTCCAATAAAATTCTAAACAACTACCTGACATTATGGACACTGACACACCTAAACACTATACAGAACAAGTATATATGGTAAGTCCAATAAAATTCTAAACAACTACCTGACATTATGGACACTGACACACCTAAACACTATACAGAACAAGTATTTACTCCAATAAAATTCTAAACAACTACCTGACATTATGGACACTGACACACCTAAACACTATACAGAACAAGTATATATGGTAAGTCCAATAAAATTCTAAACAACTACCTGACATTATGGACACTGACACACCTAAACACTATACAGAACAAGTATTTACTCCAATAAAATTTCTAAACAACTACCTGACATTATGGACACTGACACACCTAAACACTATACAGAACAAGTATATATGGTAAGTCCAATAAAATTCTAAACAACTACCTGACATTATGGACACTGACACACCTAAACACTATACAGAACAAGTATTTACTCCAATAAAATTTCTAAACAACTACCTGACATTATGGACACTGACACACCTAAACACTATACAGAACAAGTATATATGGTAAGTCCAATAAAATTCTAAACAACTACCTGACATTATGGACACTGGCACACCTAAACACTATACAGAACAAGTATTTACTCCAATAAAATTTCTAAACAACTACCTGACATTATGGACACTGACACACCTAAACACTATACAGAACAAGTATATATGGTAAGTCCAATAAAATTCTAAACAACACCTACACTATACAGAACATTATGGACACTGACACACCTAAACACTATACAGAACAAGTATTTACTCCAATAAAATTTCTAAACAACTACCTGACATTATGGACACTGACACACCTAAACACTATACAGAACAAGTATTTACTCCAATAAAATTTCTAAACAACTACCTGACATTATGGACACTGACACACCTAAACACTATACAGAACAAGTATACTCCAATAAATTTCTGGGACACTGACACATCTAAACACTATACAGAACATAATTTTACTGTAAGTCCAATAAAATTCTAAACGACTACCGATTTAATCAACACGAGGAATGATGATAAATGCATACTACGTCCAGATAATAGATGCAATTTATGAACAGATAACTGATACATATGTACAGATAGCGATTTTTTGTTCAGATGATTTTCAAAGTGATAACTGACGATATCGAAATTACATCCAAACGTCCTTAAATATATACACGTACACGTATACCTTAATTAAGTTACATTCGATTGACGAATGAGGCGGTGTCGGAAATTTTCAAAGAAAAAAGGTACATTGCAAATATCAAAACCACGGCAGTCTTTGATTTACTCATAAGGTTAAACTTTAATCATTTTACATTATTGAACCATAATAAAAACGTACTCTTAGCATTTAGTCACCATATTTTTGTGTTATGGCTGAAAAACATAAAATTCATGAAAACAAACAAAAAAATAAGTCTTATTGTTTTCTTGGCAATACGTTAAGGAGTTAAGCTGATAACTGTAAAATATGTTAAGTTTAATACCGGATATCGGCGAATTAACCTTGTAATTTTGTTTTTCTTTAGCTGGCCAACGTTTAGTCGTTTTTTAATATGTCATACCCTCTCACTAACTTGCCGATGTTCGTTTGGAATACGCGTGATTGTACTTTTTCACTTGCATCGCATGATTACAAAATTTTTAAATTGGCCTATCTAGAGGAGGTGAATAACATCAATTATAAAACTGTGAACTTTAACCACCTATTTCCATGCTGGTCCAATACCTAGCCTCGCTTTTGTAGTGGATCAATGTAACAAAAATCTCAATAGTCACAGCATATTATATCTGTTTTCATATTGACAATACAAGAACAAAACTTTTTTGTCGTTTCTTCCTTACAGTTTTAAGATAAACAGTCATACATGTTTCGTACATAAATTATTTATTTAGCTGAGCTATAACGTCGTTGATTTTCTTTATATATTATTGACGAATACGAATGCGTGTTGGTTCTTGGCGTAATTCTTTCTACACATTTCAATGCACATTACCAAGGCCATATTATGTGTTTTAAAGTAATAATTAGCCTCCAAGCACGAATGAGGAATAGACTTGGTCGTCAAATGCTTGCTTTATGTAAAACAGCGTTGATAAGAATTGCAAAGGGTGACATAAAGTATTGCACACCTCGGTGGTTCAGTCTGCGCTAATTTCGCGTATGCGTTATTTTAAACAATATTTTATTCATCATTATTGAACTACAAGAAGGCGTAAAATAAACAGAGGCGACAAGGGTTTTGAAAAAAAGCTTGAAGCTTATGTAAATCAATAAGAGGCCATTAATATTAAGCCCCTTTTTCATAACAATCCATTAGATAACGAAAATTATCTTCAGTATGATCACAACTACAGACGGGTTCATCAATAATGTGCCTGTTTATAAGGTGTGCTTTCAGACAGCTTCATTGTGGTCTTACTCTACTAGGACAAAATTGTTCCTAGTGGGTTCATTAAAATAATGAGATACGCTAGATTGAGCAAGCGATATTTCAACGGAGAAATGGAGGGGCTGTATTTTACTTTATTTGGTAACTTGTTTCATAAATTAATAGACGACGGAAGAAAGGAATTCTTGTAATACATAGCTCTAGTATTTATCAACAATAAATCTTTTTCTTGTCTAGTATCCCGACCATGGATTTCAGAATGTTTGGGCCACGAGATCAGACAAGAATGATGGTGTAATATGGTGTACCATTTCATGTGATTGTATTTTAATATGTTTTACACGACGTTCAAGTTATATTTACGTTTTGGGTAGATTTAGCTTTATAGTGAATTATCTTTCTTACTCGAATAAGTTTACGAACAGCATTATGAATCCATGGAGGATCATGTTAACGATGTAGTAACGAGGTAGAAGATGCAGTATTCAAAATGGTGTCTTCAACGAACTTGGGGATATTATTAACATTTTGGTTACTTATACTATTCCACATTACTGTTGATAGCCTGGCGCGATGACCAGCAAAATTACAGCTACCATGTATCGTGTAAATATACGGTGACATCTTACACGCAAGGGTTTAGTAAAGATTAACTTAGCATAAATTGAACAATGATATCTTAAATCTGAAATTACAACTGAGAAGTGGGTCACCAACCTGACAGCTTACGACAATATCACTATTACTAGCTAAAACAACATCCAACAGAGACTTAACTTAACATGGTAGATAATATCTTTAAGGTTATGATTATTAACAGGTACGTTTTTGTTCGATCACCGGTCACTAAAATAGTATTGATACCTGTATTATACGCCAATTCAACTGAATGTCCAATAAGATTTCCAATGTTTCACTAATGTATTTGGAGGACAGTAAAACGCACCCAGCAGCATCTGGTCGTTTTTTTACATAAACTGCTATACCTCCACCAATTTGATTGCCGTCTAGTACAATATAAAGGATGGTGGAAATCACTATGTATAAGTTCAGCGGTAGTTTACAAGATTAGGGCAGGTTTCAGTAAACGCTAGTATATCGAATTCATTTAACTCCGTGAAGGTTGTATCAATTTTAGGTAAAGTACTTTGAACGCTTCACTTGGCGATGCTAATAGTATTTTCACCAGGACCTGGATTTGTTGAACATCGCCACATAACAGAAAGGAGTGATAAGAAAATTAGAATACTTAACAGTATAGAATGACAAAGTGCATGTTTATATGTGGTTTTAATACAAAGCAATTCATCGTGGTATATTTTACACATCCGCCCGTTATAACATATTTACACTTTATGTCAATACATATGTATACTACAATAAACATGAGTAAGACATTCCATTTAGAAAGCAACATCAAGTCAAAAGCAATGACAGAAAAAATGCGTGGCAAATCGCGGTAGGAAAGACCGGTTTTATGTCTGTAGGATTCTTCATCTAACAGTACCGAAAACGTTAAAGAGAAAATAAAACCGATACCACTCTAATTCCGTCGTAATCAGTAACAATACTAAGTACAATAAAAATAGCCATGAGCAACATTCGAACGAAAATTTTACAAGAAGACCTTTGTTTCATGAGTAAGAACTTTTTTGTACAACACTTTGACCTTCACAACTGGAAAGGGATGAACCATAAACACTTTAATTTAAGTTTTACACAATAATCGAAAGGACAATAGTTTATTAAGTATCAGAAAATAAAATTTTAAATCTTATTATAAACCCGTTTTCTCACGACGCAGAGCCATCTACTCTTCACAACTTGGATAATAAGACCAAACGTTCAACATCCACCCACGAGAGCTGCCAACTCTGCGCCATGGAAAGACGGAATCCAGTGAGAAAGATAACAAAACAAAGGTTAGCGTCGTGGCTGCAATAAACGTAGCTGTGCTGTATGGATGACAAGTAATGACAATGAATAACTAAAGAAGAAGATAACGAAAAACTGAAATATATGGATTTGACACATCATCTTTGTGATGTAATCATATATACAGGGTACACGGTGATGTAACAAAGCATTAATTAGTGAATCATCACTAGAACAACTCAGATCAGGTTTGCATTGACCGACTCGGATCAGGTTTACATTGACCGAATCGGATCAGGTTTACATTGACCGACTCGGATCAGGTTTACATTGACCAACTCAGATCCGTCATACATTGACCAACACAGATCAGGTTTACATTGACCAACTCAGATCAGGTATACATTGACCAACTCAGATCAAGTTTACATTGACCACTGAAGATCAGGTTTACATTGATCAACTCAGATCAGGTAAAATTGACCAACTCAGATCAGGTAAACATGGACCAACTCAGATCAGGTTTACATTGACCAACTCAGATCAGGTAAACATGGACCAACTAAGATCAGGTTACATTGACCACTGAAGATCAGGTAAAATTGACCAACTCAGATCAGGTTTACATTGACCAACTCAGATCAGGTTTACATTGACCACTGAAGATCAGGTAAAATTGACCAACTCAGATCAGGTTTACATTGACCAACTCAGATCAGGTATACATTGACCAACTCAGATCAAGTTTACATTAACCACTGAAGATCAGGTTTACATTGATCAACTCAGATCAGGTTTACATTGACCAACTCAGATCAGGTTTACATTGACCAACTCAGATCAGGTTTACATTGACCAACTCAGATCAGGTAAACATGGACCAACTCAGATCAGGTTACATTGACCACTGAAGATCAGGTAAAATTGACCAACTCAGATCAGGTTTACATTGACCAACTCAGATCAGGTTTACATTGACCAACTCAGACCAGGTTTACATTGACCAACTCAGATCAGGTTTACATTGACCATATCAGATCAGGTTTACATTGACCAATTCAGATCAGGTTTACATTGACCATATCAGATCACGTTTATATTGACAAACTCAGATCAGGTTAACATTGACCAACTCAGATCAGGATTACATTGACCAACTCAGATCAGGTTTACATTGACCACTGAAGATCAGGTAAAATTGACCAACTCAGATCAGGTTACATTGACCAACTCAGATCAGGTTTACATTGACCAACTCAGATCAGGTTTACATTGACCAACTCAGATCAGGTTTACATTGACCATATCAGATCACGTTTATATTGACAAACTCAGATCAGGTTAACATTGACCAACTCAGATCAGGTTTACATTGACCAACTCAGATCAGGTTTACATTGACCACTGAAGATCAGGTAAAATTGACCAACTCAGATCAGGTTTACATTGACCAACTCAGATCAGGTTTACATTGACCACTGAAGATCAGGTAAAATTGACCAACTCAGATCAGGTTTACATTGACCAACTCAGATCAGGTTTACATTGACCAACTCAGACCAGGTTTACATTGACCAACTCAGATCAGGTATACATTGACCAACTCAGATCAGGTTTACATTGACCATATCAGCTCACGTTTATATTGACAAACTCAGATCAGGTTACATTGACCAACTCAGATCAGGTTTACATTGACCAACTCAGATCAGGTTTACATTGACCAACTCATATCAGGTTTACATTGACCAACTCAGATCAGGTTTACATTGACCAACTCAGATCAGGTTTACATTGACAAACTCAGATCAGGTTACATTGACCAACTCAGATAAGGTTTACATTGACCAACTAAGCTCAGGTTACATGGACCAATTCAGATCAGGTTTACATTGACCAACTCAGATCAGGTTTACATTGACCACTGAAGATCACGTTTATATTGATCAACTCATATCAGGTTTACATTGACCAACTCAGATCAGGTTTACATTGACCAACTCAGATCAGGTTTACATTGACCAACTCAGATCAGGTTTACATTGACCACCTGATATCAGGTTTACATTGACCAACTCAGATCAGGTTTACATTGACCAACTCAGATCAGGTTTACATTGACCAACTCAGATCAGGTTTACATTGACCAACTCAGACCAGGTTTACATTGACCAACTCAGACCAGGTTTACATTGACCAACTCAGATCAGGTTTACATTGACCAACTCAGACCAGGTATACATTGACCAACTCAGATCAGGTTTACATTGACCATATCAGATCAGGTATACATTGACCACTGAAGATCAGGTTTACATTGACCACTGAAGATCAGGTTTACATTGACCAACTCAGATCAGGTTTACATTGACCAACTCAGACCAGGTCTACATTGACCACTGAAGATCAGGTTTACATTGACCAACTCAGACCAGGTCTACATTGACCACCTCAGACCAGGTTTACATTGACATATATATTGATACAATCATACAGTACTTAGTACAAGTAGGTATCATATATATATATTTTAAAAGAATAAAATCAACACGACAAATGCATTCCGCTAACATTTCCAGACCTTGCGGCCATCTTCAGGCGATACATTTAACATTGTCGTGTTGATTATATTCTTTGCAAATATCTTATCGATACACAAAGCAGATTTAAGTTACATCTATATATTCATATATGCATACCCTGTGTTACATCTATACGCTAACTCCGTACTTCTCTCGTGTACGAATAAACGATAACATATTCCTGTTCAATAATTACGTAATATACAAAATGCATATATTATCATACCACTGCACGGCATAGGAGCAGTTAAGTTATGCTCATACACTCGCTTTTAACGCTAATAAATGCAAAATTAGATATATATTCCGTCGTTCAAGAATTAACAGATACAAAACATTAAGCGTTGAATTGTAATTATTTCTGCTTCTATCAGGTATTAGATGCACACATGTATAAATCGACATGATAATGACATATACATACGCGTGTAAAACGTACCCGTTTGTGTAATTGCATGTCATTCTCTGTATTACCTGAAGTCGCACTCATTGTAACAACCCTAAAGGGGAGGTAACTCAGTTGATATTCGGATTTACAGGATAAGTGAAAACTGAAAGAAGTGATACACATATGACCACCAGCGATTATTCAATGCGGGACATTATTACATACATATAGAAACCTGTATGAAAAATCTGGAAAATGGTTTTTTTTTTTTTTAATTTATGAATCAAGCAAATGGACAGCGATCCTCTATTGAGTTGTAGTTCATTGACCAAACTAAGTAAGGCCTGACTCCCGTTAAATGGAATGCTTTGGTCCATTGGTATCTTATACAAATATCTTTCCGTCAGTTGTCCAAGTTTGTACAAGTTTAGGGTTCTTGACAAGTTGTCGGGCATGATAGGAAATGACTGCGGATTTTCATCAGATCCGGATCAACGGTAACGCGCTAACGACTCTAAGAATCTTTGAAATGTTTACGTGTCATCAATATATTAGTTTGGCTTCACGATTTTAAAATTTTACAATGATCTTTACACAATTATGTGTTGATTAATGCATCAATAAGTTCCAACATTCTATTTCTAGTAAGGTGTTTACCTGATCATTGTACGCCTTAGTTGGAATGATGAGCGAGCTGTGGAACGTTTTTCATTTATTCATTTATTTGGTTGTTGTCTATTTAATTTTTTAGATATTTTGAAATTTCATTCATCGATGTCGTGAGTTTGAAATTCAATTTTTGAATGTCAATTGTCCGCCACATGAAATTCAAATGATTAATGTCCTTTTCGTAATGTTAACGGGGTGACGAAATAGAAATAATGTCAAAATATTTAAATATTTTGCGAAAAAAAATCCATTAGATCCCTTATCGTAACTTAAAGCAGATATATGGCTTAAATGACTTGAACTGGTTTCACGAATCGATTCAATAAAACTATCTAATATTTCGCGTGTGTTTCGCTGTGAAATAAATGAAGAGAGCATATTTCCATATTTGGTTATGGATATTGATCGATAGCGCGCGACCACCAAATATGGTAACATCCGGGACACACTCTGGGAAGCGGAAATTGATGCCCGCCAGATATTTAACTAGAGAAAAGAAGAATCTCTAACCATCAACAACCCAACAGCATAATGGATGACGACGTTGCGGCAGTTGTAATTGACAATGGCTCGGGAATGTGTAAAGCGGGTTTCGCTGGTGATGATGCTCCAAGGGCAGTATTTCCCTCTATAGTTGGACGACCCCGACATCAGGTAGGCCTTAACATCTCGCAAGATGTAGATCTTGTGACAAGTCAGTGATTGCATCACCATGTATTAGCAGCCCTGTCTGTCAATACATCCATGAATATGAACTTCAACACATGATATTTTGATCTAATACTTATGTGTACGAATATCATTTACACTTAGCCAAAAATAGGCCTAAGTTAATCTAACATGCTGGAAGATTATAGCCTTCTAACATCGTGGCACATGCACAACACTCGGAAGAATTCAAATCAAAAGTCAACATACAACACATCCCCACAGACATTTACAAGTGGACCCTGAAAACTTCAGATTGAGTTCCTGCCTTTTGTCCAGACATATATGTATATACACATACATATACACATTTTCCAACCATATGCTGGCAGTAATTGGGATCCAATCAACTTTTGATGCAATTCTTTTCTTTTCAATAAGATATTTTACTATGATTGTTCCAGAGGAAGCAAAAAATTTTGAAAGTATGCAAACGTTTTGGGAATCAACTTTTTGACAGTTATATAAACGACTGCAAGTTTTCAGCTGGATTCAGATTACAATGGTTATTAGAGAGCTTTTTTTATCAGAGGTAGAAAAATGTTGGAGAGTGAACTGATCAGTCATTTTGTATATATAGGAGAAATTTTTAAAAATCCTTCTTCCGTAGGAATACTTGAATGTTGTCCCAATTTGTCCTCAAGCATGCTTGTTGGGTGAAGAGGAATAACATTTTTATAAAGGTGGATCTCAGCCCTGCAGGAATGAAGGGGTGGGGCCAAATAGGGGAAATAAGGCAAATTCTTTAAAATCATTCTTTTAATTGAGGAATGCCTGGATTCTGTCCCAGTATTGTCTTTGACGTGCTTGGGTGAAAGGGATCAATTTCGCATGAACAGTGGGTTCCGGATCCCTGGGGCGGGAGGGGTGGGAAATTCTTTAAAATCCTTAAGTTGGAACTGAAGACATCTTTGGCAGGGTTTTCCATAAGAGTCCGTCGCCGGCCAATTTGACCGGCTACTTTGATCATTTGGCTGCCTACACCAATCCAGTTCCGTAACAATGTTCCGTACATGACTACACGTACATGGCAGGCCAGCCTCCCACTTTCACTACACAGCCTACTACTAACAAAATTATGGAAAAACCTGTTTGGTGAAGAGAACTTGATTTTTTACAAACATCTAACCCACTTTGGGAGAATGGGCAAGATTTTTAGGAGGAATAAATACAAGCGTTTTAAATATTTTTTCCCTTAGTAAAAACAATTTCAGCAAACTAAACCAGATGAGCAATACAGGCCATATGGGCCTCTTGTTTGTTAAAACATTAAGCATTGTTTTCCCTCTTGACATTTTGATATATTATTACCATTTCCATATTTGTATTTTTGATAAACAAATCCTGAATATTATTCTGCCCCACGGTACTCTTGTTTGCCTTAACTTTTAAAATAATCTGAACTGTTTTAATACGTTCATTAACTGTTCCAATTACTATTACTGCTGTCATATATGTCTTTATAGTCATACGATTGTTAAGACACATGGGCCTTCTTTTTTTTAAATCAAAAGAAATGTCTTAACATCAGAATCATGTTTCACATTTTCTGGACTTGGTTAAAACAACATTTTATACATAAATATTATCTGGGGTAGAAAAACAAGCTTGAAGCTGGAGGGAACTACAGTTTGGCCGTTTGTCTGTGTTACTTGTTTGTAGAAAAGTGTTTCAGACAGTTAACTAGGTCAGGTATAACTTTACATAAATATAGTTACACTGTCAAAGTTTCAATATCAAAACTTGTTATGACCAAAGAACAACATGATCGATATCAATATACATGCTTACAGTGTGAAAGCTTACAATAAGCTTATTATTTTTGTACAACTGCTTCCTGAGAATTTGATTTTCTTTGAAGTACATTGAAACCTCACCTAATGACCACCCCAAAAATTATGACCACTCCGCTATTGCGGGCACTTTTCTTGGTCCCTTTTTTTTCACTATATATCTTTGTATTGGTTGCTGTATTACAACCACTTGTTCCAGTCCCAGTGACTAATTCCTAATTATTGGTTATTGACCTCACAATTAAAACCAAACTCTGACCTGTTATAAAACTTTACCCGATGGGCAGTGAACTGCAAGCACATGTGTCGATCATGACAGGGTTTTCCATAATTTTGTTAGTAGTAGGCTGTGTAGTGAAAGTAGGAGGCTGGCCTGCCGTGTACGGAACATTATTATGGAACTGGATTGGTGTAGACGGCCAAATGATCAAAGTAGCCGGTCAAATTGGCCGGCGACTGGCTCATATGGAAAACCTGCATGACCATTGTTTTCATCAAACTAACATACATACATGTATATTCTTTTGTCAATTCACCAATTTTATTTATTGGTTATATAATTCACTTGCATTTCAAAAAATTCAACATTTTATATATTTGGTGGCCAGTTTTGTCCAGTCCCCAAAGTGGTCTTAATAGCAATGTTTCACTGTAATAGCAAATTCAATACATATAGAATATCTATGGCAGTTTCCCTCCATGAAACCTTTGACAGACCTACATGACCTGTCTTTTAAAAATTAGAAAATTAGTAGAAAACTAAACAACTTTGATAGAAACATACAGAAAAAGATTGTAAACACTTCTGAATTTCAGTTGGTATAAGTTAATTGAATTTGCATGCACTGTTACTTTAGTCTGTTGTGCATATGGGTCACTGCTCAGTGTATGATTGTGGAGTGACTATTGAAAATTAGATTGGCAGTGGTCGTGCAGGCATATTTGGCTTTGATAAAGATGTGTCATAAGCATTTGTCTAACAGTGCTCCAGATAGCCTGCGTGAATGCGTTTTCACGCACAATATTTCTAATTTCACGCTAGCAAAAAAAAAATAAGATTTGCGTCATTAACCCGTGCGAAATCCGGACTCTGCGTCAATGTCCGGCTCCAATATTACGTAGTTAGAAAACTCAATAATCCAAGTCAAACAGACACTTATCAAGTAAACGAAACTCGTAACAAGCGCTTTCTTGATCGTGATTATAAACCAGTCGCATAGCAAATATGGCGCTGTCAAAAATGTTTACAAATTCAGTGTTACCCTAATATGGAAAAACCCATACACTTGATGAAGGCAGGGGTGAAAAAAACCCTCAATTTATAAAGGTAGGAGTGAAAACCCCACATGTCAAAAAGTTATCTGGAGCACTGTCTAAAATTTTAACTTTTCTTCCAGGGTGTTATGGTTGGTATGGGACAGAAGGACAGCTATGTTGGTGACGAAGCCCAGAGCAAAAGAGGAATCCTTACTCTGAAGTATCCCATTGAGCATGGAATTGTCACCAATTGGGATGACATGGAGAAGATCTGGCACAACACCTACTATAATGAACTGCGTGTAGCTCCAGAGGAGCACCCCTCTCTTCTCACAGAGGCTCCTCTCAACCCAAAAGCCAACAGGGAGAAGATGACACAGATTATGTTTGAAACCTTCAATGCACCTGCAATGTATGTGGGTATACAAGCTGTTCTCTCGCTGTATGCCTCTGGGCGTACAACAGGTATTGTGCTGGATTCTGGCGATGGTGTCTCCCACACTGTCCCCATATATGAGGGCTATGCTCTACCTCATGCAATTCTACGACTTGATTTGGCTGGACGTGACCTTACCGACTACCTCATGAAAATTCTCACTGAAAGAGGATATTCCTTCACTACTTCTGCAGAAAGAGAAATTGTAAGAGATATCAAGGAGAAACTCTGCTATGTTGCTTTGGATTTTGAACAGGAAATGGCCACAGCTGCTTCCTCCTCATCTCTGGAGAAAAGTTACGAATTACCTGATGGGCAAGTCATTACAATAGGTAATGAACGTTTCCGCTGTCCTGAATCCATGTATCAACCATCGTTCCTTGGAATGGAGGCTTGTGGTATTCACGAGACAACATACAATGCAATTATGAAGTGTGATGTGGACATCCGAAAAGATCTGTATGCAAACACAGTTTTGTCTGGAGGATCGACGATGTATCCTGGAATTGCAGACAGGATGCAGAAAGAAATCACTGCTCTTGCACCAAGCACCATGAAGATCAAGATCATAGCACCACCTGAGCGGAAATACTCTGTATGGATTGGTGGATCAATCCTGTCCTCTTTATCCACTTTTCAGCAAATGTGGATCAGCAAGGCAGAGTATGATGAGAACGGTCCAAGTGTTGTACACAGAAAGTGCTTCTGAGTTGTTTTATTTGATATTGTTCCATTTGGATGAGTTGGTTTTGACAGAGTGTTTTGAAAATAGGTATTTCATAACGGAGAATATTAATTGAATTGAATTTTTTTTGTAATGTGCATGTCATTGTAACTCCAAAGAAATTGCTACAACTATAATGCCTCTTGACTACTTGCATAATGTATCAATCAAATGTAAATGTGTTTTCAAAAGTCCTTGTGATGATACATAGATACAATAAATATTTTCTATTCTTCATAAATTCATTGTTTGTGTAAATCAAAGAATCTTGATTCACAGATCTTGCCACTACATCATTTCCTGCAAAAACAATGGAGTGTTGAGATACATTCAAGGATATGATAGGAAACCAATCCTCAGTTTTGAAGAAAAAAATCTAACAAAATAGTTTTCTGGTACATAGAATTTCAAAGAATGGTATAATACTAATGGAATTCTTAATATATGTACATACAAAAAGTTTCACTTGGGACAACCTAATTTTCTTCACAAATAATGAAATAGACAAATTATTAGCAATTCATTAGGTGTCCAACAGCACCTATGTAGAATGTGACATATATTCATGGTCACATTGTCTATTCTTTCAACATAATTGGTCTGTAATGTAATCTTTTTTTTCTGGTGAAGGAATCCTTTAAATAACAGGAGGCCCATAGGGTCTGTATCACTCACTAAGCTTTGTTCAACTGAATGTCTTTTATTCAAGCAAAAGGAAAAGGAATTCTAATGGTTTGTATCTATTTCTAGTGTTAGCTCTCATCCCTCTTCCCACATGGGGTCATCAAAATCAATTATACAAATCTCCTTCACCCAAGAATGTTTCGGACCAAACGGACAGAATTCTGTCATTCCAACAGAATTTTAAAGAATTTGTTCCATTTCCCCTGTTGAGCCCTGCCCTTCCTACCCCAGGGGGCCCAGAGACTAACTATTTCAATGATGCTGATTCCTCTTCACCCATGGAAGAAAGACTATAAAGAAATGCAGTTTCCCCCATTTAGTAAAGACAGTTTATATAAAATTGAGTCCCCTTCACCTTAAAATGCTTCAGGTCACCATTGGAAAAAATCCAATCACTTCTAAAGAAGAAAAAGGATTTTAAAGAATTCATTCTATTTTCCTTCCTGCCAAGCAGGCAAAAATCCACCATTTATGCAAAATAGAGTCTCCTTTACCTAAGCATGTGTCTGACCAAGTTGGGATAGAATCTAGGAATTTGCAAAAAAAATTCTCCATTTTCCCCCTAGAGGGTCAGACCCACCATGTATACAAACTTGTATTGACTTCCCTAAAGGATGCTTCTTATCAAATTTCATAAAAATCTTAGTTTTTAATGACGTATTTTAATTTAAGAAGTTGTTGGACAAAGAACGTAAGCCACAGTATGGCATAAGCTCACTTTCAAGATTGACGCCAGTTGGACATTTGTATTCTGCCTTAAACTGAACCTGCACAAGCAAGGACTAGGAGGATCCATCAAGTCAGTGTCAAAAAATAGAATTGTTTTAAGGATGAAAAAGGGTAATCTGAACATTCATACCTGATCATAATGCGAGTTAAGAAATTAAAATTGAATATGGCCAACAACTAACTTTGAAAAGTTGTGTGAAAATTTGGCCCCAATTTAACATTCCTCAAACATTTGAATAACATGAATTCAGTAATTTTAAGAAATAGCGAAAGCAAACTTCAAATGTGAAAATTCTTGGCAGCACCTGCCCTACATCTTGTATATCCATCAAAAGCTGCTTCACACATCTATTGATAAAGGAATATCAACATTACATCAAGTGATTGAGGTTCAGTGTTTTGCCAAAGGAAACTATCTTGACTGCAAAGGATGGTCTTGATATCTGCTTTTGAGGAAACGCATATTGTCCTAGGTATGGTGAACCTGTACATCTTCAATCTTCGAGTCCCTACTCTACCAACCGCGACCCATGCTCACCATCCAAAGATACTGGGCTACAAGTGTCAAATTTTCCATTCAATAAACAGCAAGCTTCCACGAAATTCAATCAAGCTTATATTGTACAATGCCTAAATAGAACATAGATGTGAAATTTATATTGATTCAAAAATCAAACTTCACATGCCAAAAGGTTTGTCCACGACATTTGTCAACAATCTTTAAAAATGATAATAAAGATGTACCTGAAATTATTTAGGTTATCTTATATTAGCTCATGAGAAATTACAGTACATCCACCCAATGTAGTAGGAATTGTTACGGAGACTACTGAAGAAATGCGAGTTGAATCAGCTGTCCATCAGAGGCTGAAAATTTGTAATGGCAAATTTAATATTGCAGTTAAAGGGAAGACATGTTTATCAGGTCTATCTAATATATTTTTAAATGGATCTAATTTGGCAACTTAAGTACATATACAAAAATTAAAAAGATGTTCTAGTGATTTGATTTTGACATAGGACCCCCTAACTCTGACCTTTGGCCAAATTACTGATGTTTGGTATAGTCTGTTTTTATCAAATGACATGGGGCTTTAAGTAAAATCTGATAAAACTGCTTTATCATGTTAAAATTAACCATTAGTTGAATCTCTTGCTTGATTTTTAGCCAACAAATCTGATAGCATTGTTTAACTGTTAATTATTTCTCAAAGTAGTACATTTTCAATTTTCCTGAACATGTCCCCATTATAAAATTCTGTGTTCCCACAGACAATCAAAATATAAGTTATTTGGGAGTATCAGTATCCAGAGGCACATGACAAAACACATTTTTAGTTAAGGTTTACTATCTTGTGCAGCATTGATCTTTCTCTTTGCCTTACCATGCCAATCATCCATACGAGATCTGCCCCTTTCAAAACATAATTTGCATATGAAGTTCTATTTTTCATTTAATTTACAAGAATCCATTATCAAGTCATCATTAGATCAAGTGTAAAAACTGAAAGGTAGTTTACCAACTAACATCTTCATGCCAAATTGTATTGTTTAAGTCAGTACCACATCTAATTTTGGTTTATTTATCAAGCCCAAAATCTTCAATGTGGCAACGTAGAAATAGAATTAAAACTACATGCGATAGTTTGTTCTCCAATTATGCTGACAAGCACAATATAGCAACTGCATCTTTAAGATGTGTCATCACTGATGATCTAGATAAATAACAGACATACTTCTCAGGTACCTTCTCCGTCCCATAAACAAGCATAGTTAAAAGCAAAACTCAGAAATTAAAAACAAAAAGCAGTTTGTAAATATCACAAAGAAAATTTTATTTGATTGACCATTTCCCCTAGATATCCCCAGGATAATTTGGTGCACTTGGAAATGCACCTTTGAGAAACAAAATGGACTAAAAAGGTATGGAGCTATCCTGTAAGCAACAGGGAACTGTCCTGAAAAATGGCCGAATAATAAAGACAGAGACAAGAAGCTATAGTTACACAATGGTAGTAGGACTACATGAAATAGCAGCACTATAATGCAATGTGACCGGTGGCAGGTCATGCAATAACTTAATAATTCATTCATTGTACTAATGTAGCTACTTTTTGTAAGGTAATTATTGTTATCCTCTTCAACATTGGTACCTCCAAAGATAAAATGGTAGTTCATTATTACAAGAGGTAATGTTCACAGCACAGTAATGCAATACAGAGCTTGCCCTCTAGTCAGAACCAGTTTTCAAGATGGCTGCTGGTGGTAGATGTATGAGACTGAGTCTGTCTAGAGGCACGCCCTTTAGTGATGTGTTGCTAGGCAGTGAATCGTCTACTCGTCAATGATGGTCTCCTCGACAGATATCAAAAATTCAACTGTCTCTTCATCATACTCCTCATCATAGCACTCATCTGAATCAATGCCTGCAAAAAACAATGCACAACATTGAAGAATTAGCATATTAAGAGTTGATATTTTATTTCAGCAACAAAAAAGTCTTGACGCCAATAACTGCAGCATCAAATGTTTTAATTTACAATTAGCCATCCCCTCAGTGTTTTTTCAATGTCTTAAAATGAGGTAGACACTACTAGGGACCAAGACAATTTGAACACAAAATTTTAGAATGATCCATCAAACATTTCTAAAGAGACTGTGACAACAAACTATGACTTAAAAACAAAGATAATGGCCAAGCATTTCTCATTAATCCCAAAATGGATTTTGTACACCTATGGCCAAAGCAAACCTATATATATCTGAGAATGATCAATCAAGTGATTTTATAGGAATAGCAATGACAAGAATTGTTCATGGATGGACAAAATGGACAATTTTAAAGAATGATTCATTGTTTGATGATGGTGGTCTTATAAGTATTCAGCAGAGAGTTGCAAAAAAGTTTACCATTACGCAGCTCTATCCTCCTCTCCCTCATCTCTTCATATTCTTCCATTTTAATGTCGCGGAATTTCTCGTATTCTGCCATCAACGCACGACGCTTCTCTAGTAGTTCCTACAAATGTAAAGAACAGCGGTTTTTTTAATTTCATTCACAAACTATGTCCCTCTTCCTCCTAGTTTCACAAACATCTGGTAATTATCTATTATCCCAGACATTGCAAAACTTTTCATTTATTATTCCATTTCTCTGTGACAATCAACATTTGTAATAGTTTCTGCAGTCAGTTTCAAACATATCACTTCTTTTATCAAAGATATGGAAATAAATATGCTGAATAGAGAGAAATAATCTTCTCCGTTTCATACGAACTTTATCAACTAAATATTGAAAATCTCATCTGATCCAGTAAAAGTAAGAGCTTGACCATTCCCTACAAGAAAACCTGCTGAAATTCACTTAATCATGGTGTCCACAGACACATGCATACACTCAAACTTACAGAGGAAACGTTGGATTGTCGAAGTCTGTCAATCATCTCAAACTGCTCGGTGTACTTCTTCATGTTCTTCTTGATGGCCTGAAGCAAAAGTAAACAAGATTATCAGTGAAACTGATGAATGTTCTCCAAAAATTACTATTGGACACAAAATTTTACCAATGGACAACAATTCTGCAATTTAGGTGTTGCAGGCCCTGAATTTGGTATGCAGCATATTCTCTTAGTATGACCAATGTACAAATATGCTCATGGAACCAAATAGACCATAACTCTGTACTTACGGGACCCTAACTTTGCTACACTGCATCTTGCTTTTGTATGACTGATATTTACATTACTTTTCAATATCCTATTTTAAATGGAGGCATAGTAAAGCTCCAGAAATCAAATTTTAACAAAGGACAATAACTCCTGATGTATAAATATAAAAGAAACAATCTGCAGTGCATGACCTTATACTTCAGTTGGCCAAGTCTGCAGTTAAGGATTTATATCAATCTAGTAATTGACCATAATAACATAGCTACAGGAAAGGATTTTTTTAATTTCTATAAATAGAAACAATAAACTCTCAGCCATTAAAATGCAACTCTGTTCAAGCGAGTTAATCTATTCAGATTTTTTTCCAGAAAGCAGCTGAGAAGATTTTCAGGTCAAATATGTGCTAAGAATAGTAACAATATATTCCAGCAAAATAATAATAATAAAGACTGTTGCAGCAGACATATCAAATAGAATGTAAAAACAGCGTTTTAATACTATCTCACCTTGATTGCTTCACCGGACAAGAGTGAAGAAGGCCTAGGTCTCCAAAGCAACTGACAGAATCTATCCAATGGCTGCTTCTGTAACAAGCGGCCTTGAAACGACCAGATCCAAAAGGCATTGTCAACCTACAAGTAAAGTATTAAATGGAATGCAAAAAGCTTTCTTGCCAAGAAAAACATAGCTATAAAAACGTATCTAAACACACTGCCACAGTAGTGGCTTGGTAGCTGTTGAATTCAAAATGGCACCACTAGATTCTATATTTCATTGTTACCATCTATGAAAAAATACTTGATTGATTGTCATAGAAAAATGAAATAAAGATTAATAAATCAGTAATTAAAAGCATTTATTAACAGCAAACAAATCCAAATTTTTCAAATTAATAAGTTTGTTTGTTTTGAATAAAATTATTCAAAATGCTTCCTTACGAAGTTCAGCAAAAATGACTCATATTGTTTTTGATACTTAATATTGATATTTTTATCAGAACTGTGGGCAGTTTAAATCTTTCAATATTATGAAAAAGGAAAGTTAAACATCTATACAGAATGGAAGCTTTATAAACACTAAACGATTTGTTTGCAATTTTATTTTCACAATCTGAAAAATTCTTGAAATAAATGTATAAATGCTAAAAGAAATAATTACTTAAAAGTGTTTTTTTATATCGTATTGGCAGTATTTGTATACCTTATGGCCCCACCAGCTGACAGCAGACACTACATAACGTCCTGTAGGGTCCCACTCCACATCAGTTGCCATAAAATGTTCTGTCTGTGCCATCACAGTCACATCAGATGCATCCACAAACTCCAAGACTCCATTCATACTAACATACAAGATTAGAAATCCGTTAAAGAGAACTACTTCCTTGACAGTTACAACTTAAAAGGCTTTATCTTTTATTTCATTTACCGCATGAAAATAAAATGCTTCCACAATTTTAATCTTTCACACTAGTAGCACTTTTGATGTGATTGACATAGAAAAACTGTCCACAATAAATACACTACCAGAAATTTTAAATACTTCAAACTATTTCCAAAACTAGTCAAGTTTTATTCAGAATATTAAACTCTGTACAAAATTTTTCATTAATTCAATAATCAATGAAATTATCATCAAACATAAGATTGCTGATAATGTAAATAATGAAATAATCAAATAGGAGTCAAATCAAAAGGAATCTTCAGTAAGGGCTCTTCCAGTAAAACATCTACTTCATGGAATAATAACAGAATGAAGAAATTAATTATAACATCACTACATGTACTACAATGTAATAAGCTTCATTTTCTTGAAAAAAATCATCTTATATAGAATTTCTAATAGTTGTGGATTCCTCCAGGAATCTATCTGAAATAGCCATCAATGCAATATCTTTACACCCAAAAAATAGAGTCAACTAAAACTTAATCAACTTACTTGCGCAATCCCGCTAGCACTATAAACTGTCCTGTTGGACTCCAAAACAAATGGTTGGCTGTCCGCCTTTCCAGGGTTTCTGAAGAACAAGGAATAAGTGTCATAAATTAAAGAGCAAAGGAAGAATTTGTAAAAAAAAAAAGAAATTGAATAAGTGAAATTTGATACCTGAATTCAGAACTCTAAAATCATTGTTCTATCCCATGAATATTTTGCAGTACCTTTTTCAATATCATTCACCAGTATCTAAAATTTCCCAAGAACACTGTTACTAGCAGTGTTTTAAATTAACTACAAGCATGAACACCATAGTATATATCTTTATGAATCATATCTTTGACAATTTAAAAGTTATAAAATTGTGAGTTTTAAGTTACAGAACCAGATATGGCTCTACACTAAATAAACAATTAATTCTACTTACTTAGAAGTTCTACTTTTCCATGTGTACGTATCACATAGAATGACACTGATATCCTTGAACTCTCCCCATGGATAAATGCAAACTTATTTCCAGTTGGCTCCCATGCAAAAGCCATCACATTTTCTGTAAAATAAATCGATATTCCATAAGTAAAAAAAAAAAAAAAAAAATCACTCTTAGTCTTAATGGTTCTATTGCTAACAAAATTACTTCAAGTTAAAACACAGAACCTATAGGAGGATACCACATACCATGGGATGAGTGTATATTGCTTTAGGCTGCTCACTGTAGGGAAAACTAAAATCTTTTCCACTCCCCTGACCAAAAGAAACATAAAACCTGTGGCCAAAAGAAACTTGTAACCTGTGGCCAAGAGAAATCTGTAAAAACTACATAAAGATTTCCCCTCTCTTAATATTCTTTATTAACTAGGAATGTTTTTGGTAGCTGCATACCCATCTACATAGACAGAAAACAGTTTGAAAATTGGGCTGGATAATCATACAAGATTTAATATAATTTAGTGTAGTTTGGAAACAGTTTTACTATGACTTACCTTTCACTTCTATTTTATCCACTGGGATCTGTTTTTCTCGGATTCGGAACAATTCAAAGTTGTAATACATACCCTGTAAACAGAAAATTGTCAGTTGTCAACATAAATGTTGAGTATGAGAATGATTTGTCCATAGTTACACATAATTTTACAGTTTGACATTATTGTCAAGTCCAATACATGGGCTATGGGCTTCAAAGCAAAAGAAGTAGAGCTGTACTTCAAACCATAAGATAACCAATAATGGCCTTCCTTCTTATAGTCACATCTCTTTAGTTAAAAAAAATTAAGCAAAACTGCACAATTACCAAGTACAGTAAATCTGAATACAACAGCAAAATCAGTGGAATTTCTGTAATGGTGTAGACATGATTCCATGCACAAACAGACAGTGTGCCAGATGTAGATGAGAACAGGTTGAGAAATTTCAAGACTGATGATCTCGTCTAGTGAACCAACTTTATAATTGACCACAACAACTGGTTTTATAATAATACAATATATTGTACTACTTGTGTAAAACTTAATGCTTATCAGATATAACAGAATAACATAAAACAAAATAAGAATATTGGGATGAATAACATAAGTGCGATGTATTTTAATAAGAGATCAAATTAATAAATCAGATTGTATGAAACTTAACCTGTCTGACTGTAGAAACCTGCAACATCACTACACTGTCACATTTTGTTACTGAAAATTTTAATTCCACAGATAAAAGATTAAGGACAAAAAGATCAAAAGAAAGCAATTTCTCTGTACATCCAGACAACAATAAAAACAGTTTTATCGACAGTAACAGACAGATTTACTTCATCTCTATACAACACTTACACTGTACTTGTACTGATCTTTTTCATCTACTTTCTTGGCTTTGGAGTAACGGTCTACCTTCACACAAAGATAGTCACCATTTTTCTGCCAGTGCATTTTACAGTCTGCCACATTGAACAAGTTTTTCACACACAGTTCCTTCCTGTTTGGTATTTGGATAAGTGTAACACGGGCGGGTACATTCTGTTCTTCAGGCACCCAGTAGGCAATTATATTGTCAGTAGGTGACCAGGTGAAATCTCTGTCAAAGGCAAAAGTACATTTTTTTGTTATATCTAAATATACTCCTGTGGAAGCACTGTATTTGTAAATGTATGTCTCAAAAACTGATGGACAAAAGCCATCATAATTAGTGTCTAGAATTCAATTTTCTTCATTCAATTTACACAGGAAAAGAAATCCCAAATGAGAATCTAATTATTCTTGCATCTTCAATCATTTAAATGTTCAAAGTTAAATATATACTAGTGGTCAATATAAATATTCCCCTCCATATAAAGATATCCTCTTTTTACCTAGTTACCAATAAAATCCTATTTCATTACTCACCGAATTCCACAAATCTTCAAACTTTTCTTTTCCAACAGACCAAAGGACTACAAAAGAGGACAATTCTCATTTTGAAACTTTTTAAAAGTTGTTCTTGTTCATAACTTTCCATTGACATCATTTATAAATTTCGTGAATAACTATGATGGTTGGATAGTATTAATCAGTTAATCTATTTTGATAACCAAAGTTATAAAATGGTCCTTTAAATGACTACTTACTGGTGTTTCGTATACACTTAATGTATCTCGGCCAATTCTGGCAAAATAGCTACCATCATGACTCCACCTGGAAAACAAAATTCAATATTTTCACTTGTAATTGAATATCTAAAATTTCACCAAAAGTAGGATATCTTGCTGTTTTGAATAAAATAACACCAAGCATAATCATTCATTTCATATAAACTTGTCATTCTTTTCAATTACAACAAAAGCAGCTTCACACATCTGAGCATGATATATAACCACTTACTTAAATATAGGCCAAGTGGATTGTGTCTCACAGTTAAATCCTCGCTTCTTCTGCCCAGTTCGGATGTCCCAGATGATGATGGCTGTTGGATCATCTGGATTACTAGGTACTGGACTGAAGGTGACCAGGTATCTACACAAGAAACAAGGGTTTATCATCTTAACATAGCCAAGAAATAAGGCAGAATGATGGAACAAACACATGTACATCATTTGGTTGTGTCTGAACTAAACAGAATGTCAGAAAAACATTTAATTTTCCTCTGAACAGATTTCCTTTCATATCTATATTTATCATTGACGACTGGATTTTCACATTATCTATACTATTTTGTTCTGATATTCTAATTACTGAGAAAAATAATACTTTCTGATTCAGTCAATACAATGTATAAAATACCATTGATTAAGAAATGTTGCCTGGATTTATTGCTTCATATATCACAAGCTTGACAACAGAGATTAAACTTATATCACAGACAACACAGTTAACTATGTGATTTACCTCAGACTTGTCTTCATAGATATAACAGACATAACAAACCTGTTTGCTGTGCAACATCACAAAAGCTGACTTACCTTTCACAGGGTGAAAAATCAATAAGTTGAACTCCAGTGTGACTAAACCTCATTATCTGGTCGAACTTTTCACCTCCCCAGAGTGCATTTCCTTTGCTGTGGAAAGTGGCCAGAAAGTTGCCTTGAGGAGACCATCGAACATATGTCTCTGTCCATCTCTAAAACATCCAATGGTATACACAAACTTTATTAATAGGAATTCCAGTTAATCTTTCATAAATTAAAATCTCCCATAATTAAAAAATGGGAATATTCCTTTAAGTTTGACATGGTTGGAGTTTAAGTAATTCTTCATTATATTCTTTGGATCTATTGTGATACTGATATATATACACCTTATTTACAAAATAAGCATATTGATCATCTTTTGGTGTCACTTCAACATACATTCTGTGATTAATTTTTTGTACTTGTAAGTGTAACAAAAACTAGAAATTTGTTTCATCAAAGAAAATATTTTGAATCGGTAAGGTAACAGTGTCACTCTACGTAGTGTCCATTAAAAAGATTTTCAGAACTCTAAAAGTGAAATATCATGGTTATGGCGATCACTCAAGAAGGCAAAGCTTCCATTAAAACATTACCTGTATATGACCAATGATCAAAAACAAAAAAAAACTATTGTCCTGATATAGATTATGCCCATTTGCAATGTGTTAAGATCACTGACATCATGTTTCGTTGAAGGACTATAATTACATTATAACAAGCAAGTAGAGCTGAAACCAATTCAGTAGCTTAGGAGAAGTTGATACATTGTTGCATCTACAGACAGTATAGAAAAGAAAAAAAACACATCTTTTTACAAAGGCATGAACATTAAAGCCACAGGCAAGCGATCACTTACGGCTCTCTCCTCTATCACCGTTGGCTCCCTCGACGTGTTTTTAAATATGGCTGTGCGCTCTCCACCTTCATATATCACACTGTATTGGTCAACACAGTCTGGATCTTGAAGGAAGTATCTCAAATTACCCTGTAATAGAACATATAATATGATAACATTTCAGGTACATGTCATAAATATCTCAAATTACTGTGAAATAAACTAATACACCAGGTACATTTCAAAGTATCTAAAGACATCTAAGTTATCCTGTAATATTACAAAAGTTCATTTCAGAGGGGTTTCAAGTTACTGTGTAATATATCACCGTAAAATTTAAAGACTTCTTTACTTACCACGTCTTTGTAAGGTTGTCTGGTAGGAGGAACCCAATCATCTGACAAATCTCCATATCTAAAATGCAACAAGCCTCATAGAATTGATTTCCAAATATTTTGATTGAACCTTTCACAAATTTCCATCTCTAAAAACTATTTCTTTGAAATTAGAAACTAGTTATTTAAAATGGACTTCAAAGGTTTTAATTTAAAGTGAGGAACACATTTCTAATATATTTTGTTAAACATATGTATCATTTAAAATGTAGATGAACAAGACTTCTTCAACTCACTTCACAAAGTCTGAGAACAAGTTGACACAAAAGGTGTGTTGTTTGTCTAATTTATAACCATTTGCAGTTTTGACAGCTTCCAGGGCATGCATTGGTGATGTGTACTCCAAAAAAATGTATCTGCAACAATGGAAGTCAATATAAATCTTAAAACTCCTGGATGAATAATCTCATTGTCTATGAAAATCTATGAACAGGAAATCTATTTAATTAATTGTGAAATATATCAGTATTTTAGTTCAAATTTACTAAATTCTCTCCTTGAAAATCAATCTTCATCAAATGTCTCAAAAGATATTACAGACTCAAGAATTTACAGATAAGCTGCTTGGGCATAAAATACAAGATTGTAAACAGATTATGCCTTATTTACCCCTTGGTTTTTTCATTCTCCATTGGATAATATTCAGTGACAATCTTGCCAAACTTTGTGAACAACTTGCTGATGACATTTTTCAGCTTTTCTTGTCGCTCCACTCCAACCTGTGGTACATTATCCACCACAATGACACTGTCAATACCATCAGTCTCCTTTGGCTTGGAGCGCATAAGATCAACCAGTACCTCTGCAAGGAAAACAAGGTTGAGATATACTATTTCTACATCCTAAGTGTCTATGGGATAATTTTATTAACACGTATGTGTAGGACACCGACACTTAAGACTCAAACTTATACAAAGAATAATTAGATTTATTTCCACATCATTATACTCCAATTCTTATTATCATTAGTATGTCATCCTTCAAAACATTTTTTTTTATTTTTCTGTAACTTATTTCGGGTCTGTTACATGCATTTTAATGCATTTTAAAACATCCATACATTTCATTTTTTGTTACAATCTGTTTTAGGTTAAATTTGTTTAACCATGCTTTATTGTTGACTTTTATGTATTATTTTGTAATCACCAGAGTTTTTGCTGTCTTACTGGTACTTTTGGTCGTGAAAAAACTTTTCCAGTTTCAGAGAATTTCCTATCTACAAGTTCACTTTGCAAACAAGTTTGAATGATTCTAGCTGCACTCTGTATTACAGTTTTTAATTGTTTCAGAAGAAAGTGTGCATCAAGCCACTTCTTCTGAAGTCATTTCTTACTTGCTTAAGAAGGGCATTTTAGAAACTCTCCATGTCTGGAATGACATAAGCATTATCATTCTTAAACTGCAATATCATCCAAAAACTACCATCTGTGTCAAAGATGAGTGTGAAAATGTATGGAGATCAGATACATGCTGAAAATTGCTTTATGCCAAACGCTGAATTCTGAATGTGAAATGCTTACTGCAAAATGCTTTATGTGAAATACTTTCTCTTTGAATTTGAGCTTACTTGATCAAGTAATTAGAAAATATCGCTGACGGTAATGAATTTTGTCTTGCCATATCTACTACACCTAAATGTTAAGAGTTGTTGTCATTTGTTAATTTGGTTTGGGACATGCTAAATCATTAAGTCCTTACTTTTATTTTTTTTTTTATGCTAAATGTGTTATACTAAATGCTACAACGAAATGTTTTATGTGAAATGCATAATGTGATATGCTTCATGTGTAATGCTGATTGTAAAGTTCTTTTTATGAAATATGCCATATTAATTTGAGATGTTGAATTTTCTACAGCTGCTCCAGACCTACATACAACCGCGGATGTTTTGGGTACTGTGTGCCCGGTTCGATTATACCCAATAAAATCTGCTTCATGGTCAAAACTTACATTAAGCACTTTGCAATATGCGTTCGCATATGGCGTAAAGCTTTAAGCATGTATAACCAGCTCTTCATACAAATATGATTCTGGTTGTATGATAAAAGAGTTGAACTTTGCTTTATTAGATGACTTATCAAATCGGAACTCTTGCTGTACTCCGCGAGGTAAATTCTAAATGCTATGACAGTTGTCAAACATGTTCATAAATGCCATACATGCAGTTATCAAAGAGTACTTTCTATCTAACGTTTTAAACTGATATACAGGTTTTAAAACTTAAGAAAACATAATGTCATTATCCTAACTTATTAGCACGAGATTAGCATGACCAAAATTATTACAACAAAGACGATAAGACGGAAGAGATTAATCGCCGGGGCTCGCACTACAACCATATTGGTAGTATTTTGTTATATTTTAAAGATTCTAACCATCATTTGTTAAGTCATCAACAAAATCCTCGGGGTCACTGAAATCAGGCTCTTCTTCTTCTTCGTTTCGTGAGCCATCATGACTATGTGAGTCCGATTTTCTATGTCTTCGCGACTCGTGGTCGCCTTTTTCAGCCGCCATCTTGAAAACCTCGTGTATTTTGCCGGTTTCGGATTGCGCATGTCCGACATTTATGAAAAATTACCAAAACGAGATGGAAAGTAGATTTATTTTTACAACATTTCACAAAAAGGTTCAAAATAATATATGGTTACATTAAGAAAGTCACCACACCCCCATGTTAGATTGTAACATTTCGATTGATGCAAAGGGACGTAACTTCATATGTGAATGTTAAGGGCGCACTAGACTAAATAATGAGGCTCTGATTTTTACAGTGAACGTATAGCACTGCGGCAGGGACGTAGATAACTATTATCTACGTCCCCGACTGCGATAACATCTTGTTTTTTCCCCGATGGATTGGTATGAGCACTGTCAAACAATTCTGCCATGACATAATTGGTAAGCACGTTGTCTAATTACAAATAGATATTTTAGCTCTATAAAGAGTACGTGTCAATGAAGTTTAGGTCTATTTAAAATGTCCATCGTTTAATATTGAACACAATTGTTTTCATTTACAAGTTTGTTTCAAAATTAAATCAGAGCTAAACTGATATATAACAATCAGATGTTAAACTAGTAGAATATGTTAAGTGAGCAAAAAACGGGTATTTGATTCAGGATTTAGTCTTAATACTAATTTTATTTTATTCACAAATATAAATTAATATGGAATAACTAATGAAATCGGATTAACGTGTGTAATTAGTCGAAATGATTTGAACATTGTTAAATAGTTTCACTGAAGATGGTAAATGTGTTGAAAGAATGAAAGATTGTTGAGGAGGAAGAGAAAGATATACAAGTTGTGTAACTTGAGGCCAATTCCGTTGAAAGAAAGACTAAGAATATGCTTAGATAACAATGAAATAATATTCCATAGCGTAAAAGGATTAGGGAAATGTGAATAAAGCGTTTTGATTTGACAATTGTTATCGTTACAACGTAAGACGCAGCATTGTTCCATTTTTCTATTGCAATTGAAAGTGTAAAAATAAAAATGCCATTTCACACTTTAGATAGCAATAGTAATCCACGAAGATTAAAAAAGATCGATGACAAAAATGCCAAGAAAAACAACTTGTCCTGTTGATCTTCAGACGTAATTTAAATGTATTTGTGGTTCATTATATATCAAACAATGATATGACATTACTTATATATAGGTTGTTTTATTGCGGGAAGGTGTCACCTTAAACAGCTGAGTACATTAGTCTGAAGGGCTTTCTGCATGCAACTACAATGTATATCCTTCCTGTTGTAACTGGCTCCAATTCACAAATGGAGACCCCGTCTTATATTAAATAATTAATGAGATATAGTATGTTTTAATAATTTAAACGTAAATCAATTAAGGTAACTGGCCTAAAGTTCGTTTAAAACACAACAACTATACGACTATTAAGACTTTTCCAATAAGATATCGTTTGAAATATTGTTTATTAAGATATTTGTACCTTAGTATTGTAAATATCAATATGCGATCTTAACCACAGACTAATATATACTTGGTCAATTCTTGTACAGATATTCCGAAACCTAGACATGCGAGATTGAGTCACGAGTTACCTCCCTTCAGCTGCCCATTGAACAAACAATACAAGGTCTGTCACTTCTTACGCTCAAGAAGATGGTGGTTACTGATATCACCATATCCGTTCTAGACCTTCAGATTGATGTCAAATCATTTATTTCGATGTATTTTATAGTAAACATATCATGAGACGCCTTTATTCCGATTGACTTTTGGATAGACATCGGACTTTCACACAGAGTTCCGAGTTATTGACTTTTTCAGTTCAATGTCGCTCCAAGTTTCTTAAAAGTTTAAAAAAAACTATGAAAATACCAACATATTGGTTCCTTTGTTGTTTACTGTGTTCTCATTTGGGAACGTGCCATTATCTTCTTGAACTGACCAAAATTTACATGGCGGTGTCTTCCTTGAAGAAGAAGACGACTCCTTTTCAAGAAAACATGTTCTTATTCTTCTTATACTTGTTCTGAAGTCTCCTTGTAATTTTTTATTGCTATTTTGACATCGCGTTTTGAATTTTATACTGAGATTGAATTACTCAGTTGACATGCAGTGTTGTTTACGAGTTGTTGATTTATCATGTACTGTTTGGTGTTGGTTTGATGCCTTGTTGAATCATTATCAGTAAATCTTTTTGTAACATTAACCTAGTTTGAGGACGTATTCTGGCATTTGTTTTATGTGATTTTGTCGTTCGGTCTTAGTTTATCTTTAACTTACAGTACTTCGACAAGGACCTGGTAACTTGTTACCATCCAGATGATATATATACATTCCTAGATCTTGTACCTGGACTTCCAGGGTTTACAATCACTTACGATCTCTTTAAAGAATACCGAATTTAATCCCTGTGTTGTATAATGTTGGCGGAGGGGTTTCATATTCATACACCGAAACGGAATTTATAGAATCAGACCCTTTGAGATGAGATAGGTGGATCTCAGCCCGAGAGGAAAGGTGATTAAATTAAACATCTTTCATTTTTCCCCGAGTGTTGAGATCACCCTGTCTCACCAACAAGGGGGTGAATCTTACCTTGCCGGCTTTATGAGGTATTTGTATGTGTTTTTTGTTACCCAAGCGCTTCGCATTTATTTGTTCACGTGACGTCATTGAATTGCTACTGTGATGACATATCATTGTCCCGGGATGAAACAAGGAAATCTCACACCGGTAAAACGCGAGGATGTCCTGTCTAGGTTAAGAGAAATCATTTTCACTGAGTGCTGAATTGATCTTCAAAATTCTAAATAACCTAGACTATAACAGATTCCTGGGTTCCTTGTGGTCTCAACTTTTGCTACCTTTATGGTTTGTGTTGTGTTGCTGTGTGGTCTTGTGGTCTTACAGTCTTCCCGGGCCCCTGTTCATCACCCATTCAGTTGCTGATGCTGCCAGCCTGTAAAAATTTCCGAAGAATGCTGAGCATTTGAAACTCTAGAGACAAGCATATCCAAGAGAACCGAGTTGTTTATATGTGTTATTGATTTTTAGACCTTCCCAACTGAAAATCGGGAAGCAGGGGCGGGGGCGTGGGGGAGGGGGTGTTGACGGCGTGGTATAAGATTAACGCGTGTGCAGTCCGAACGAAACACCCGAAACCTATAAAAGAATTATTAATCACTTTCAAGTTTAAGGACTGTAATGGGGTCAAAACTTCACCACGGTGGTCATCTTTTATTTCTTATCGGTCATGGTTAAATGTAGATGGATTTGGAATCGTTTTCTGTGATGTCTTGTTTATTTTACCTCTTTCCAACACAGATTAATTCTCCTCTTTCATTATCAGGAAGCCATTTGTTTAGCACGGTATATGTTTTATTTCAAGTTCTCGTACAGATGTAGTCTAGTACGTATTGGTGAAATGGCTGCTGCCTGCTGTGCCAGTAATGTCATCATCAGACTGCTATCGCCAGCTGATGTGGTGTTGGATGGGTCAGACAATCTCTTCGATTTATAAACATAGAAAATGTTTACACTTACCGCAGAACTTATCACAGAAAACTAGTCATCAGAGATTTATATTGGAATTTTCATGAATTTCCCCGCATACAACGTGCCAACATCCGACCGCTTAGATAAGCATATCAAGAAAATGACTTTCTGGTGTAAAATTACCCTGTGTGAGGTTTTTTAATGATTCCAATGCAGTGTTTCGAATCAGCATCAATGCAGTTTCTGCTGACAAATTTGAATAAACAACCCGCCTAAGTTTACATCGAATTTCCTTTCCACTGTATCTGATGTGTAAAACATTAATGATATTCACATTCTGACTTTTATTCTTGTTTGTATCCTGTCTATTGTAGCTTACAATGACGGCTGTAAGACTTATCTCCCTTCAATCTAGAAAAAAATACTTACTTATTTGTTTATCTATTCCGCATTTTTTTCCACTTTTTTTTTTCAAATTAATGATTAAAAACACAGTCGTGTTTGAGTATGACGGCTACCTCAGCACTGTGGTGGTAAGTACTTATGGCTATTATTCTCGGTAAATACTCGTGGTATGTACTCGTGATTATAATTCTCGGTAAATACACGTGGTATGTGCGTGGTATGTGCTCATTGTTATTATTCTCGGTAAATACTCGTGGTATGTACTCATTGTTATTGTTCTCGGTAAATACTCGTGGTATGTACTCGTGATTATAATTCTCGGTAAATACTCGTGGTATGTACTTGTGATTATAATTCTCGGTAAATACTCGTGGTATGTGTTCATTGTTATTATTCTCGGTAAATACTCGTGGTATGTGCTCATTGTTATTGTTCTCGGTAAATACTCGTGGTATGTGCTCATTGTTATTGTTCTTGGTAAATATTCGTGGTATGTACTCATTGTTATTGTTCTCGGTAAATACTCATGGTTATAGTGCTCGGTAAATACTCGTGGTATTTACTCGTGATTATAATTCTCGGTAAATACTCGTGGTATGTGCTCATTGTTATTATTCTCGGTAAATACTCGTGGTATGTACTCATTGTTATTGTTCTCGGTAAATACTCGTGGTATGTACTCGTGATTATAATTCTCGGTAAATGTGCGTGGTATGTGCTCATTGTTATTATTCTCGGTAAATACTCTTGGTATGTACACATTGTTATTATTCTCGGTAAATACTCGTGGTATGTACTCATTATTATAATTCTCAGTAAATACTCGTGGTATGTGCTCATTGTTATTGTTCTCGGTAAATATTCGTGGTATGTACTCATTGTTATATAATTATCGGTTATAGTGCATACTCTGGTATGTGCTCATTGTTATTGTTCTCGGTAAATATTCGTGGTATGTACTCGTGAATATAATTATCGGTAAATACTCGTGGTATGTGCTCATTGTTATTATTCTCGGTAAATATTCGTGGTATGTACTCGTGATTATAATTCTCGGTAAATATTCGTGGTATGTACTCATTCTTATAGTGCTCGGTAAATACTCTTGGTATGTACACATTGTTATTATTCTCGGTAA